CCAAAAGAGCCAGTCTGCCTACAAAAGGAGAGAGAGAGGGGAGGAGTGAGCAGGGCAGGGGCATTTGCTCAGAAGAGCAGGTATATTTTCAGACTCTAAGATCCAGCTTTTTGATGGAGTCATGACTTTTTTCAGTCATTCTTCTCTACCCACCCATGGGCACCATTCTATCGTCCACGTCCCTCCAGGGCCCAGGTACTCTGAAAAGAAGAGGGTCCTGGGAGAAGAGAAACAGAGACCCCTGGGGCTGTGAGCTGGATATAGAGCCTGTACCACAATGGGTTTGCCAGGTCCCCAGATGTCCCAGCAAGCCCCACAGAAGGTATGAGAGAATGTGATATCTGAAATGTGTAATGCAGAAAGGGCCCTACTAGGGTCTATCAGAACTAGGCTGATAGGATATCTGCCATATTTTGATGCTACTGTCTCCCCACACAGCTACCAGGACAATTGAGTCAGAAGAAGATTATAGAGAACTCATACCAGCTCTTAAATGACCTAGACCAGGAGTGACTTGTGTCACTTCCACCTGCAGTTCATTGTCCAAAAGTGGAATTCAGTAGCCTCACCCTCACTATAGAAGAAGCTTGGACATGAGAGAGAGGTGCACATGGAATCTTTAGAGAATTCTACTGTCTCTGAGGGACGAAGGGATAATAAACTCGCTCAGTGTCCCAGAGCTGGTAACGGATAAAAGCTAGACTGAAACCCAGGCTGCCTGGCCCCAGAGCCTGTCTTCTTGACCACAATGCTGGTATTACAGTTCCACACGGGAGATCTACTGAGATCCAGAGGGCACCTTGTGCACTTTCCTCCTGTCCCCATTCTCTTCTCAAAAGTGACTGCCTCCTCTGCATGAGTAACAGGGTGTTTTGTACTCCATAATCTTTAGCTCACTATGGCCAGTCAGTCAGCCCTGCCTTCTTACTTGCTCCTCTCCATAAAATAAGAGTCTGTCCTGAGCAAGGATTCACCATGAATGCATCGGCCAGAAAGAGCAAGACCCACCCCTCAGAAGCCCGGCTTGCCCCTCAGCCCTAGCAGGGGTGTTCTAGCTGTCTCCAGCAGTCTTTGGTGGTGGCTTTGAGCAGAGGTATCTTTCTCCCTGGTTCAATGGAGGTTGGGAGGGAAAAGGTGCTGGGAAAGTTGCACCGGGATACTAGACATCCCCCTTCCCCTTACAACTCCCCAAAATGGCTCTAGAAGAAAACGAACAGTACAAGCCACTACTTGTGACGATCTGGACTTATCCAATGCAACATCAATGTCAACCCAGTGTCTACATGCCTGGGCCAGGCACGCTGCAGACTTTACATTGTGCAAACCTTTCAGAGATCCCGTGGGACAAATCTTATTAACAACCACCCACTCCTCCACTTTTCAGATGAGAAGACAAAAGTTAGAAGAGGTAAATGGCTTGCCATGGGCCATCTTATAAGTGTCTGTGCCAGCACTTAAGCTCAAGACTTTGGGATTCCAAAAACCCTGCATCTTGCCAGTACACCACACTGTTTCTCTTAGAATTCCACGTTAGTACAAACAACCAACATTGATTACGCCAAGCACTGTGTTATGTACGTTTCATGAATTATTTCATCTAATACTAACAATGACAACAACAAAGAGCAACCATAGGAAATAGGTGCCACTATTAGCACTCCCATCTCATAGATAAGGAAACTGAAGTGTAGAAAAAGGAGGTCCACGAAAGTCAAAGAGAGCCTAAGCGGCAGACCTAACGCTTAAACCCAAATCTCTCTGCCTTGGATCACAGGCTTTAACTACTAGGCAATGCTGCCACCTGACTGTCATTGAAACGGAGAACATTGGCGACCTGGGACTGGGAGAGGGGAGCAGGTTAGCTACAGAGAACTTGTGAAAGTGCTCCATTTGGCTGTATCTGTTCATTCACACTGCAAGGCCTCCCTACCATAACTGGAGATTACGTTATATAGTTTTTCTAACTGATTTTCTCTCCCTGAGGGCTTGTGATTGCTTTCTGACCTGTTATACGTGAGCATCTCCTCCCCCTTCTGAATCATTCAATTCCTGCCAAGTTCTCCACCCCAGCTGTGGCCAGGAACCAGGTTCTGTTGTGTGCACAGAGAGAACTGAACTTCTGATCAGAGAGAACTGAACCCGCAAAGTCCCCATCCAAGACCTAACCCCAGTGTTTCCTAGACAGTACCAGGTAAGATGGAGGTGAATGACAGCTTCTTTCGTGGGGGGGTGTTTATATGTGTGTGTTTATCTGCCACAGGGCAGTAAAGTATATACTGAACTTAAAATCTGAAGACCCAATTTCAAATTCTGGCAGTGCCACTTACAGCCCTTGAGCATATCTTGTAACTTCTCTGACACTTCTTTTCCTTTACTACAAAATGAGGATGGTGATATCGAGAGAGAGGGCTCAATGGGAATATACATGTGATATGCCTAGCACCGTGGCCGGCACATGGGTGATTGATTTAATGTTAGACAGCTCTGAATGTGGTGGGCTGTGGGAGGAGGGTACCGAGAGGGGTAAAAAAGACCCAGAAGTTAGACACTGGAAAGAAAACTCCATTATGCAGAAGTTTGTTCACAGTATATAAGGTGAATGCTTTTTATTAAAAAATATCTTTTTAGGGCTTCCCTGGTGGCGCAGTGGTTGAGAGTCCATCTGCCGATGCAGGGGACACAGGTTCATGCCCCGGTCCGGGAAGATCCCACATGCCGTGGAGCGGCTGGTCCCGTGAGCCATGGCCTCTGAGCCTGTGCGTCCGGAGCCTGTGCTCCGCAACGGGATAGGCCACAGCAGTGAGAGGCCCGCGTACCGCAAAAAAAAAAAAAGAAAAAAATATATATCTTTTTAATATTTAACATGGAAGGGGCTGGCCTCAGAATTTGCTGGGAGTTAGAAGGCATCTCAACATTTATTGAGCCCTTATTCTGTATCAGACTCAGTGCTGGCAAAGTGATTTATATTGACTGTCTTGCTAATCCTTGTGGAAGCCAGATAGTGGGTGTTACTACGATGCCGTCAAGTTTGGAGACATGAATGGTGGTCAAGATCACTCAGCTGGTACCCAGTGGAGCCCAACCTGGCTCTGTAGCTCTAGGATCCCCTATAACACGCTAAGGATGGTGCCTCATAAAATAAACAGCTTTTCAGTCCAAATGCTTGTGAAATCAAAGCTCTGTTGTAAGAACTCTTCAAGGCACTGTGTACCAGTCATATGGGATTAGGGTCCATATAATGACCTCGTTTTAACTTAATTACCTCTTTAAAGATTCTATGTCCAAATACAGTCACATTCTGAGGTACTGAGGGTTAGGACTTCAACATATGAATTTTGAGGGGACACAATTCAGCCCATAATAAAGGATTAATTAATTTCCTCATTATTTCTCTTGGTGTTGTTTTGGTTTTTAGCCACTTATTAAGGGGTTGTTTGCACTGTCCTTGAGTATTTTAAGGAGGATCCTGCAGTGATGTAAACACCTGTGTATAAAAATAGCAACTGAGTCTGGTTTCTTGCTCTCAATGAGCTCATGCCTGTGTAGAGAGGTATGTGTTAGAAAAAATAGCAGGAAAAGCAGGTTTTAGAACTAGCTCTGCTACTAAACTTGCCTTGAAACCTTGGGGAAATCCCTGTCCCTCTTGGGATGTTGGCCTGGAATGGGGGTTTTAAGCTCAAATGTCGACAAGAGCTGGATGGGTACAGTAAGTGCAGAAGCAAGTAGCTGTAACAACATAGGGAGTAGTGGAAACCCTGCTGAATTGGACAACAGTCCATTTAATTTTCAGCTCCAACCAGTTGGTGCCAGGTTGAAATAAAGGCCCAGTGTTGCCAGGCCTTCTGAGTTTTCAAGAAAAATCTTCAATTCACATTTTAAATGAAATCTCCCAAATTTTAAATATTGGCAATTCAAATTTTTTCCTCCAAAGGATGAGGGTCAAACGTCTGGGCCAGCTGATTATCTTAGGGTCTTTCTTCCCTTAAGTGCTCTGAACAAAAGACAGTACTGTTTATTGACAGGCACTAAAAAGGAAGGGGACATACTTCAGTTCATGTGGTCTAAGGATCCACACAGACAAGGAAACTCTAAGGGATGAAGCTTTCCCATTATCTGTCCTCTTTTCTGCAGACAGTAGCATGGTTCCGAGGGCAGCATCAGAATTAATTGGGGTTTGGTTATTGCGTCTAAACAGGTTGAAAATAAATTGAGTCAAGTTTTATTGATCTCTCTTATGGGTCTATTGTCAAACAGTATTATCTTATTGCTGAAACGGGGAGGAGGCTTAACTGTTTGCAGTGATGAAGTGCTTGAACCTCAGAGCTATCTGTGAAGTGGCTTTCTTCTCACAGAACAGAAGTTCTAGCTTAAGCCAATTTTCACAATCAAACGTCAAGAAGCATCCTAATAAATGAGCGTTCTGCTCCCATGTTAGAAGCATTTGTTGGGATCTGGAGTGGCAAAGAAACTCTATTTCACAGGTCAAGTGATGGATTGGTAATAGCTACCTGGAATGCTGTCCTGGGGAAAACCCCGAGGCCAGATCCCAGTCCAGTAAGGAAGGTGCTGTGATATTAGCCTCCTCTGTCCTGAGTGTGCTGGTGCATGTTTGTCAATATTCTTAGAGTCTCAAGTGACAGAAACCCAATCTCAGGCAGGAAAAACTGTTGGCTCATAGAATTCAGGACAGGATATTACCAAGACAGGGGTAGAGATGCAGACGGGCCTCAGGAACAATAGTTCTGAACCAGAGACTTGCATGCCTCTGAGATACTCTGTGCCCCTTATTTCCATATCTCTGAAATCTTCCTTGTTTTCTTCACTCATGCAGAGCAGTTATCTCCACATGACAGGAATTATAGCCACCGACAGTTTCCAAAGTGTGCATTTCGTGGCTTCCACCAAGGAGAGACTGCCTTATATACCCTTTGGTAACAAGCACACACACAGATTTTGGAGAGGGATTATGATTAGCCCAGTTTGGATTAAAAAATCATAGGAAATGACTGCTCAGCTCTGGACCAGTCAACTTTGAACAGGGGGTGGAATCATCTAAAAATACGTTAGTTTCCATGAGAACCATACATTTGGGCTCGGTGGGAAGAGAGGTCTCCAGAGCAAGGATAACATGAGGTACAGGACTTTCAAAATGATGAGTTTCTACCAAAAAGGGGATGACCACATGGCTGCCATCCCAGGGGGTACAAAAAGAGAAGGAGACCCTCAGAAATATGTGCCAACCTTACCTGGTAGCTATAGCCCCTCCCCATCATTTTTGGCCTCATCTGGGAAGAGAAATCCCCACCTAAATCAGTAAGTTGTGCCTTCCAAATTCCAGTGAGCTGAAACAAAGTTATCACTCTAGCAGTTAACCAGGAATGTGCCTTCATTTTGTGGAAGAAGTTCCTGCTCTAATGACCGACGTATTAGCCGTCTCTTCTCAAGGCAGGTGGTGGCCTGAGAGTTCTGTGCCTGCTTCCTGACGTATTAGCCGTCTCTTCTCAAGGCAGGTGGTGGCCTGAGAATTCTGTGCCTGCTTCCTGAGGACTGCTCCACCATGCGATGGCTGATGAAGTTCCGGGTCCTCTGGGACATCCACAGATCCCGCTGTGGCTTCTACCCTGCCCCTCAGTACCTGCGCTGCCAGTCTTTGTCGGGAGCTGGAGCCCCAAGATGGAATGACTATGATACACCTGAGGAATTTAACTTTGCAAGTGATGTACTGGACTACTGGACTCAAATGGAGAAGGTAAGGAGGCACCCATGCTGGGGGGTGAGAACAGGATCGACCTCTTGCTCCTAGTAGGTTGAGGGGCACAGAACTAAGAATGGCTTCTGGCTAAGCCTACAAGTATCATGAAAAGCTTATGTTTTGGGCTTCAATTCTCAGCCTTGACACTTCCTCAATTTTCTGAGCCCCAGTGATTTTATCTGTGAAATGGGGATAATCTCATTTAAGAAACAAGACAGCAGGTGAAAGTATCTGGTACACAGTCAGGTAACTGTGACCAAGTGTCAAGTTCTAATCACAGGTCAGCAAGTTGATGTTGGTCTGGATTCTCACCTTCAACTACTGGAACTGTGAGTCTAACTAGAATTCATCTCATCACACTTGGGCTTGACTTCAGCCTACACCGAGAGGGAGGGTACAGGCAACCTGACTGTGCACATGAACATCTGACCATGTAACAAAATTATGTCATCTGTCTTCCTATGAGGATGGCAAGTACATCTGGAGTCTTCCCTATCAACTACCTACTTGAGCGTGTGGCTTTAGGGTGTGTCCAGAGAATCCTGTCCCTGTGGTCTCTGCAGAAAAATGCACGTTCTTGGTTTGTCTTTTACCAAGAGACAGACCAAGAGGGGAGCAGTGGTGACACTAGGAGTTGGGGTAGACAGTGGGTGGTGTTCCAGCTACTAAGTCCCAGCTGGTAATGTCCACATTGTGAAAAACCACTAAACACTGTCTTTGTACAGAAGAAAGAATTCACCTAAGACGGAGTCAGAGAGTTGATGTATTTTTAATTTCCCATGAACATACATTCATATGTTAGTATTCAAAGCTTACATGCCTTTCATAGGGACTTTTTTCCTACCTCCATCTTTTTCCTTTTTCTGAATTTCCATAATAACTCCAGGGAAAATAGAGCCCTCAGTTATGGAGAGCCTTTTTTTTTATGTGCCATGTCAAGCACTTTGCACTTAATATTCTGATTAGATGGACACTTTAATTATCCCCATTTTCCAGCTGAGGAAACTGAGGTTGCAAGGGGTCAAATAACCTGCAGAATTCACAAACCTAATAAGTGAAGGAGCAGGATTTGGGTCCAGGCTGTCTGATTCTATAATCCACTGTTTAACCTGGTCTCACAATCTGATGACGTCCAAACATCTCTGCCTTCATACTACAAACTGACTTTCATCACTGCCCAGACCAAAACTCAGGTTAGACCTTTTGAATCATGAGAAATGGCTGGAGAGGCCATCATTTTTTTTCTGTATTTGTCTTCATAAAGTCCTTATTAGTTCACACATCAACCCCTGGAGATTATCACCATGTCAATATTTGCCCAGGGAATGCCGCGTCTTTGTTGGGTCATTGTCAGTTCCTCCATATCTCCAAACTTCTCCTACCCCCAGCATCTCCACCCATTTACATTCATTCTCACAACAGTTCTGATCTGTCTGTTTCTACTTTTCCAATTGCCTTGATCATGATCAGTGTCTCTCTAGTGACGTATGGTGTCTGACACCTAGCAATCCCTCAGTACCCCTTTGTGGGATACATTAATTTTGAAACTTGCCGTATGAGCACTGTATGGATTGATGTTGCTCCCATGGAAGACCTTCTAGAGGGCACGCCACCATAGTCCACTCTGGCTTTCTGGGCCTCCCCTTACAACTTAACAAGTGTCATTCAGAAACTGATCCGTAGCCTAATCAACAACACAACCCAAACCATAACAAATAGAATTGATTTTGACTCAATTTTCAACACATTTTACTTATTAAAAATGTTAAGTTAGAAATACAACATTTTAATGTAACTTTTTTTAGCATAAGCCAGGCAGCATACGTCCAGGGGTGGAATATAGTCACTCATTCAGGCCACCAATTTACAACCCCTGACTATCCTTGGGAATTAAACCCTATATTACTCTAGGCTCCAAGGATACTACATTCCAACTGATTCATGGAGCAGCCTCCCAAATCTATTCATGAGAGGTCATGTTCATGTCCAAAATCATTCATTCTGTCTCTTTGATACTGCATTCATTCATTCAGTTAGGATTTAATGAGTACCTAACATGTGCCAAACACTATTCTAGATAAGATAGGGATAGAAAAGTAAGCAACGTACAACGCTCCATCTTTCCTCTTTTGATAGTGTGATTCTCCACTTCATGTCTCAGGAGAGATGAGTACAGCATCTGTGACATTGACTTCTGTTTGTTTGGGCAAAAATCATGACAGGAGCAAATTCTTCTTACCACCTTCTGATGTGATTTAGTAATAAATATTGCTCAATAAGTGTAGTGTCTGATATGTGTATTGTCGCACCAGCTTTTTTTTTTTACTTCCATTTATATGGAATACTTTTTTCCATCCCCCGACTTTTTCAGTCTGTGTGTGACTTTAGATCTGAAGTGAGCCTCTTGTAGGCAGGATATAATGGCTCTTGTTTTTTTTTTTTTATACATTTAGCTACTCTATGTCTTTTGATTGGAATACTAATCCATTTATATTTAAGGTAATTATTGATAAGTATGTAGTTATTGCCATTTTGTTGTTTTCTGATTGTTTTTGTAGTTCCTTTTTTGTTCATTTCTTCTTTTTTTCCTCTCGTCCCTTGTGATTTGATGACCATGTTTAGTATTATGCTTGAATTTCTTTCACTTTTCTGTGTGTGTACCTATTATAGGTTTTTGGTTTGTGGTTATCATGACATATATATATATATGGGTTTTTTTTTAAGTTGATGATCTCCTAAGGTCAGATGCATTCTAAACACCCTATATTTTTACTGTTCCTCCCCATGTTTGTTGTTTTTGATGACATATTTTTCTTTTGCATATCCATTAACTACTTATCGTGGGTATAGATGATTTTACTACTTTTGCTTTTTAACATTCCTACATAAGTGGTTCCTTATCTTGGAGAAGTGGCCTAATGTAGGAGATGTCCTATGGACCCAGCAGCACACTCCCCTCTGGTCACCAGTGTTATATGCTCTAGGGTTATATGCTCTAGGGTCCCCCCCTCTGTGGGCTATGTGGGCCCTTCTGTTGTGGCATGGCCAACTACCGTGGGTGCACTGGTAGTCAAGGCTGGCCCCCAGACTGGTTGGCTGACATTTCCTGTCTCATGTAGTGGTTGCCAGCCTGTAGCCAGGGATGGTTCCTGATGTGGCTGGCCATGTGGCCTGGGATGTTCCAGGGCTGATCTTGGCTCACTGATGGGTGAAGCTGGATCCTGGGATAGCTGGCCATGGGGACTGGGGCACCTGGAGCTGGGGTTGGCCCACTGGTGATTGGGGTCATCTTTAGATTTAATTTAACCCTGAAATTCCTTATTTATATTCCAGAGTTGTTGTTTTTTATTTATTCATTCAGTACATATTTAACGAACATTTACTATGTACCAGGTGCTCTTCTAAGAGCTTTAATAAAGAATTTAAAAGTTATCACTATTTTTTTGTTATTGTTTTATTGAGATATAATTAAAGTATAATTATCACTGTTTTCCTAAAAAAATAAAAACCAGCAGTTTTTCAGGTCAAACTCAGCACACTAGCATGCATATCAAAATATTTAGACATAAAATCTGGGGTTTTCATTGCAGAAAAGCTTTTAGTAAAGGATTTAATTTTTTTTAATAGGTTATTAAGATTTCTATTCATCAACTTTGGAAAGTTAAATTTCTTTAGCAATTTGTTCATTTCATTCAAAATGTCATAAAGTTATTTTTTGACATAAAGTTATTAATATTTTTATTATTGCTATTTTAATGTCTGTAAGATTTGTAATAATGTACACTTTTTATTCTTGATGTTTTTAATATGTTATTCTCTTTTTTTTTCTTGATAAGTCTTCCTAAGAGTTTACCAATTTTATAAATCTTTTCAAAACCAGTTTAGGTTTTACTGATATTCTCTCTTGTGTATTTGCTCGCCATTCCATTGATGCCTACTGTTATCTTTATTATTTCTTTCCTTGTACATTCCTTTGACTTAATTTGCTATTCTTTTTTCAGCTTCTTGAGATGGAAGTTTATGTCCATACTTTTAAGCCTTCCTTCTTTTCCAATATCTGTATTAAAAGTATAAATTTCCCACTAAGCACTCCTCTTAGGTACATTATACAAATTTTGATATGTCATATTTTATTACCATTCTGTTCTAAATATTTTTTATTTGCCTTTTGATTCTTCTCTGGCCCATAGATTACATAGAAATGTATCGGTGAGTTTCCTGATAGTTGAGGTGGGTTTCTCATTGTCTTCTTGTTAATGATTTCTAGCTTAATTCTATTGTGGTCAAAAAGTATACTCTGACTTTTGAAATTTCTGGAGGTTAGTAAACATTCCAAATGCAATGGAAGAGAATGTGAGTTATATCATTGTTGGGGAAAATGTTTTATCTATGTCAATTAGGATTTAAATTCTATGAAATCTATCATATTCTATCATTAATTTACAGAAATTATAGAAAGTCTACTTGTATTTCATTTTAATTAAAAATGAAGCAAGTCCTTTCTATAGGCAATAAATTCTTATGTGTTTTAACATTCAAAAAGAATCATCTCATTCATCAATCACATGATTAATTGATCTACCTTCCCGTTTTCCTTCTTTGAAGTATATTTTAGTTAGAGATTAACAAGGAGTAGCTATGTAGGTTTTTGTTTATTTAAATCAACTGTTTTGATCTATAATTTACCTAGAATACAATTCACACATTTTATGTGAAAGTTTAATAAGTTTTAGAACATTTCTACCACCTTAAAAATTTCCTTTTGTCCTTTCCTAGTCAATACCTCCCCATCCCCACCCTGAGCCCCAGGTAGACACTAATTTGCTGTCACTAGCCCTTATATTTCTCTTTCCTAGTGTTTCACAGAAATGGAATAATATAAGATGCAGTCTTTTGTGTCTGGTTTCTTTTACTCAGCATGTTTTTGAGATTCATTCATACTGTCTTGTGTATTACTTCTTCATTCCTTTTTATTGCTGACTTAGTGTTTTATTTTTTAGATCTATTTCTCAATTTCCATTGGCTTCAGACTTCACTGCATAAAACTGTAAATCTCATATCCAGTTTAAAGGTTGTGTTTTATCTTCTTGAAAACATGCTAATCTTAATATCACATTATCAGATTAATTCTGAGCCCCCCAAACCGTAAATCCTTAAGCAATATCTTCTTCAAGTTGCAAGAGTTAAGAGTCTAAACTTTTATCTGAATTAAAACAATTGTTTTCACCTTGATACGCCAAACTTTCTATCATTTTGTAAACTCATACAGAAATTATATAATCTGTTCCCCTTATATAGACAGTGCACAACTAGTCATTTATACTTGCTAACATTCCTTAATCTGTTGGAGAATAATTTTTTTCATAGCACTGATTTTTCCATAGATATGACTATATGTATATACATATATCTGTGTGTGTGTATGTATGTATATATGTATATAATTCTTATCTCAGGTGAGACACACTCTTTTGTTCCAATCATATGAGGCAAAGATGGTACGATCATGTTTGCACATATGAGGGAAATAATTTCTGGAAGATTATACACCAAACAGTTATCAGTGTTGACCTTCAGGAAGTGACAATGTGTTGAGAAATTTGAAGAAATTTTTCTGTTCATAAGAAATTTTTCTGTTAGTAAGATTGTGCCTTGCGTGAACTTTTACTCTGAACGTGCTTTGTTTGGGGAATTAAAAAAACTTTAAAAAATCGTTTTACTTGGGGAAAATAAAAGACTTGATTTAAACAAGAAAATGAAAATTGTCCATAAACATTTAAAACTGTTTACATACATGTGTATATATGTCTTGTTCACCATTGTATCCTTTTGGTCTAAGAACAGTACCTAAGAAATAATGAGAACTTGGCAAATATATATTGAATGAATGAATGGATACTATTATATAAGTTTGGATTTAATGTAAATGTGGTTTTCCTTTTCTAAATTGATGTTGTATTATAAGATTTTTATTGCAAAAATATTCTGAAAGTTTTTTGATTGGTTTTATCACATTCCATCACATGGAAGTAACAATTCTGTCGACAGCATATAGTTGAATTCTGAGTTTTTTATCCATTTTGCCAATCTAGTTCTTTTGATTGGGGAATTTCATTCACTTACATTTAAAGTAATTACTGGGCTTCCCTGGTGGCACAGTGGTTGAGAGTGTGCCTGCCGATGCAGGGGACACGGGTTCGTGCCCTGGTCCGGGAAGATCCCACATGCCACAGAGCGGTTAGGCCCGTGAGCCATGGCCGCTGAGCCTGCACATCCAGAGCCTGTGCTCCGCAACGGGAGAGGCCACAACAGTGAGAGGCCCGCGTACGGCAAAAAAAAAAAAAAAAAAGTAATTACTGATAAGGATGACTGACTATTGTCATATTGTTAATTGATTCCTTGATGTCACAGCTTTTGTGTCCCTCAGTTCATCCCTTACTGCCTTCCTCTGTATTTAGTTGATTTTTTGTAGTGATATGTTTTGATTTTCGTTTCCTTTTGGGAATATTCTGTAGATAATTTCTTTGTGATTACCGTGGGGATTACATATAACATTCCAAATTATAACACTTCATTTTAAACTAATAACAACTTAACTTCATTCACATACAAAACCCTACTGTCTTCCAGTTGCCTTGCACCTTCCTATATTATGTTATTGATTTCACAAACTATATCTTTACATATTGTCTACCCATTAACATAGATTTATAATTATTTTTTATGCTTTTGTGGTTTCCATACAGTGAAAGAATAAAAAGTGAAGTTATGAACCAAAATTATAACAATACTGTTTTTATATTTGTCTTTGTATCTATCTTTATTAAAGAACTTTATACTTTTATATTTAAGTTACTCTCTAATGTCCTTTCATTTCAACTTAACTCCTTTTAGCATTTCTTGTAGGGAAAGTCTAAGGATAATGAACTCCCTCAGTGTTGTTTTTTTTTTAATCTGAGAATGTCCTAATTTCTCCCTCATTTTTAAAAAACTATTTAATTTATATTGGAGTATAGCTGATTAACAATGTTGTGATAGTTTCATGTGCACAGTGAAGCAACTCAGCCATACATATTCTCCCTCATTTTTGACGGACAATTTTGCTAGATATAGAATTTTTGGTTGACAGTTTTTTTTTCTTTATCACTTTAAATATATAATCTCACTGCCTTCTGGTCTTCAATCCACTGGTAATCTTATTAAGAATTTCACCTGATGAGTCACTTTTCTCTTGCTGCTTTTAAGATGCTCTCTTTGTCTTTGTCACCTGTAGTTTGATTGTAATGTCTCTCTGTGGGTGTCTGGGTTTTCCTACTTGGAGTTCATTGAGCCTCTTGTATTTGTCTCTCCATGCCTTTCCTCAAATTTGAGAAGTTTTTAGCCATTATTACTTCAGATAAGTTCTATGCTCCATTTTCTCTCTTTTTTCTCCTTCTGATAGTCCCATAATGTGTATATTGGTCTATTTGATTGTGGCCCATAAGTTTCTTAGGCTCTGTTCATTTTTCTTCTTGTATTTTTCTTTTTGTTCTTCTGACTCATTAATTTTAGATGACTTGTCTTCAAGTGTACTGATTCTTTCTTCTGCCTACTGAAGTCTGCTGTTGAGTCCCTTTGTGAAGTTTTCAATTCAGTTATTATATTTCTCAGCTCCAAAATTTCTGTTTGGATCTTTTTGTAATTTGTATCTCTTTGTTGATATTCTCATTTTGTGCATATATTATTTTCCTGATTTGCTTTAGTTCTTTGTGTTTTCCTTTAGCTTTTTCAGTGTATTTAAGACAGTCATTTAAAAACCTTTGTCTAGTAACTGCAGCCTATGTCTCTTTAGGGTCAGTTTCTGGAGATTCATGTTGTTACTTTGAATAGGCTTCTTCTCTTTTTCTTTGTAGACCTTGTGATCTGTTGTTAAAAATTGCATATTTAAAAGAAATAGCTTCCTCTCTCAGTCTTTGCAGCCTGGATCCAAGCAGGGAAAGACCTTCAATAATCTGCTCAGGACGAAAATTTAAGGTCTTCTCTGGCATGTGTCTTTCCTGGTCCTGTCCATGTGTGTTTTTTGTTTTTTGCTTTTTCTAGTTTTCGCTGCTCTTTAACATTTTAACTTTCTTAAAAGTCTGTTTCCTCTGGGGGACTTAAATGTTCTATTCTTTCTTTGTCTGTAGTCTCTAATCCCTAGGTAACCACAGGTCTACAGTTTCCCCACACTGTGACATTTCCCACTGTTTTCAGATACCTCCAATATGCCGTCATACCCATCTGAGCTCCAGGTCAGTCAAGACAGAAACCAGTGCCTAAGGCCGCCTCCAGACAAGCTAGAACGTTGCACACAAGTTTCAGTCTTTTTCATCTATCCCAGGGGAGGGGCTGGGAATTGGGTGGCTTCCTCTGACTACACTGTAGCACATCAGAGAGCGGGTGGTGCAAGAATAAGCAAAATCACCACAAAATTTCTTACCATTTTGATTATGACTTTTTATTGTTTGGGCATTTGTTGGTTGCTGTGCGTTTGTGACTCTTTTCTAAATTCCTACAAAGGCATCTTAGTCTATTGTTGTTTACTTGATGTTTTAGTGAGGGAAAAAGGCCCTGGAGCTTCCAAGACTGACTTCTTGCACCTCTAGAGGTACCTTAATTTAAAAAATAATTTCCTCAAATATTCAGGAATTAAATTATCCTCTTTTATTTTGTTGTAATAATAATAACAGTAATTTTATTGAGCACCTAATATATGCCAGACACTGTTATACACACTTGACCTTTTAAAATAATTAATTTGAACTTTACTACATTCTAGGTAGTATTATTATACCCTTTTCATAGGTGAGAAAACTGAGGCACAGAGGGTAACCTACTGTCCATGTGGAACTAAGACAGACACACGGGGAATAAAATTGTAAGTCTTCAATAAGTAACATGAAGGCTCTTCATGGTTTTATGTGACTTAAGACGAGGGGGTTACAGTAGACCTGAAGACGTTGGCTGGATCACACCTCCCCCCAACTTCTCTTGGCGCTATAAATGCTTTAAAATGGGATCTCAGACCTTGAGCTACACTCACAGTGGAATGTGACTGTGGTAGTGGATTGGCCACATTAGTGCCCCTTTCCTTTGAATCAGGAAATAACATGTAGCATATGATCCTAACCAGGAAGGCAAGAGAGGTCCAAACCCAGCCCTGTGGTGGGTGAATAATCAAGGGGATGAAGTGAAGTGGAGTTTCAGAGAGATGACAGACTTAACCCGTCGTGCAGCCAACGTCTTCACACAGACCTGTGGCCTCCAGGAGGGAGACCATCTAGCCTTGATTCTGCCTCGAGTGCCTGAGTGGTGGCTGGTGATCGTGGCCTGCATCCGAACAGGTCAGTGACCCAAGCAGACCTTTGGGCTCACCTAGAGCCAGATTGTCCTGAAATATTAGGTGCTTTCTCTTCCCCCCAATTTTTCTTCTTCACAGTCTTTCTTTTTCTCAGACTCACTCAAATATTATTTTACTCCTTCTCATCCACTCTCTCCCTTATACTAACACCCTCTCAAACACAATGTCATAATTCTCTCTCTGTCTCTCACACACACACGCACGCACACACACACACACACACACACACACTTTCTCTTACACGGTCTCAGACATTCTTGCTTCTTTATAAGATTCATCAATTGTTAATGTTTTGCCATATTCGAGCCCTCTCTCCCAGTGAGTCATTTAAGAATCAGTTGCAGACACTGTGACACCCTTAAACACCAGATAAACACTGCAGCATGCATCTGCTAAGATCCAAGACATTTCCTTCACATGACCACAGTAGAGTTATCACACAAGAAGTTTAACACTGATGCAATAGAGTTACCTGATATACATCCATCGTCAAAATTCCTCGATTGTCCCAATAATGTCCTTTATAGCATTTATTTGGTTTAAATCAAAAATCTAATGCATTGCACATAGTTGTTATATCTCCCCCATCTCCTTTAATCTAGAATGTTTCTCTACATTCTACACTGTCTACATGATGATGACAATTTTGAAGCGTCTAAGCCAGTTGTTTTGCAGAAGGCCCATCAAAATGTGTATTTCTGACTCCTTCTTCATGATTATCTTCAGATTAGACATTTTTAGCCCAGGCACTAGAAGGGCAACATTGTGTCTTCCTTGGTGCATCACATTGGGGATATATAAAGTTGGTTTGCCCTAATATCATTGATATTATCACTTTAGAAAGGTAGTATCCACCTTTGTAAAGGTACCTTTTCCTTTTGTAGTTAGTAAGTAATCTGTCGTATAATATTTATGGGACTGTGTGAATATCCTGTTCCCCAACTGTCTTTCACCTTATGGTTTGACAATCCACTGATGATTCTTGACTGAATTGAATGTTTTAATGGTGGTCTTTTATTAGGATTTTCTATTTATATCATTCCCTCTACATTTATTAGTTGGCATTCTTCTATAGAGATTTTCCTTTCCCTTTTAATTGCTTATCTATGCATTAATCTATATAATCAGTATGGGACTCATGGATTCTTTTTCGAATCACTTCAGTTGTTCTATAATGCATGCTCATACAACAATATGTCGTGCTCTTGGTCACATATTCTCCGTCTCATGTTTTCTCACAAATAGTTGATTAATCCGTCAAGATCAAGAATTAACAGCAGTGGCTGAGGGAGTATAGAGAAGTCATGCCATCTGTATAGTGAAGAGATGGTCCATGAGAAACCCAAGACATGACTTGAGACCTCTGGGATAAGAAGAATTAAAGAGGAGTAGAAGCAAAGGACGGAAATTCCAAGAATGGTCATAGCACATGGAAATGCTTAGAGTCAGGAGTAGCCTATACGAAGAATGGTCACCTTGAAATAGAGAATAGAGTTGTGCGAGAGAAAGATGGAGAGTGAGCAGTGCCCTCAGAGTTCAGGATGGGGAGTGTGGTGTTTTCCTGGAGACAGGGTCCAGGTGTTAGTGGGGAGAAGAAATGTGGAGGGGAAAAAGTCAGTGCTCTGTGGAACTAAGCAGGCTAATAATACGGAAGGTGGGTAGTAGGAAGATTCAGGACAGGGCATCTGGTGGAGAAATTAGAATGCAGTAGGGGCACACAAGACTTGAGCTAATTGTTGGTGATGGAAGATGGAAGGGAAAGTAGAAAAGTTCAAAGGACATTGCAGTTAACTTTGGGTATGACGAACGAAGGAAAGAGAGGAAATTCAAGATGACACAAGGAATGATGACAACAGATGACAAGAGATTCACGATGACAGAGAAGGAAGTGAGAGGAGAAAAATGGGGGCAGGGAGGCAGAGTCAGGGACACTGTCCTACTTGTATCTTTCCCAGATCCTGTGTAAATTTGTATGGAGAAGGACTCACCTGTCTACTGGCTAGATCCATTTAGAGTAGAAATTATTAGGGGAGGCTTTTCAAATTTTAATGTGCATAGAAATCCCTTGGAGACCTTGTTAAAATGCAGATTCTGATTCAGTAAGTTTGGGGTGGGGGGTGAGATTCTGTGTCTTAGGGGGTGTTGATGCTGTGGACCATACTTTGCATGCCAAGAAGTTAGGGGATGTCTGTGCAGATAAACCAGATCTGACAGCCAAGGATGTGAGGCTGTGAAAGAGATACCAGAACAGGCAGTTTCTTTCTCATCCCTAGGGATCGTCTTCATGCCAGGGACCACCCAGATGAAGGCCAAGGACATTCTCTACCGACTACAAGTGTCTAAAGCCAAGGGCATCGTGACCACAGATACCCTTGCCCCAGAGGTGGATTCTGTCGCTTCTGAGTGTCCTGCTCTGAAAACCAAGCTCCTGGTGTCTGACCACAGCCGTAAAGGGTGGCTGGACTTCCGATCACTGATGAAGTGAGTTTCTGGTCTGATGAATGTGCTTTCTGAGGAGTGGCAGGAGAAAGCCACTCACTGCCTAGTGCTGGTACAGAAGCAGCCAGTGGGAGGAAGCTCACCAGGTCTGAGCTTCTCTTCACAGCTATGTCACTGATTTGCTGTGCAACCTTGGGCTAGTTCCTTCTCCTCTCTTGGCTGCAATTGTTTTATGTATTAAATGAGGAAATTGAACTTCTATGGCTCTCTCACTAAAATAAATCACCCCTGTGCAAAGGAGATGTGTAAAGTCAGAGGGTTATTGTGTTGCATGTTCCTTGTAGGTGGGGAATCTGAATATTATTTTTATGTAAATAATTAGCAATTAAAGAAGTTGAACAAAAGGTTAAGATGAATTTTTACGGTGAAACATGGTACTGAGGAAAAAATGACAGGCAGCTTTGGGAGCAAACACTTTCCATGTCCTAGGGGGTGGGTGTCTATAGGGACGCCTTGAAGGAAAAGTTAGGGAAGTGCTGAAGGTAAGAAAGACCCCTCCACCTCCAAAACTCTGATTCTGCAAGTCTTCAGGCATTTTTCATATCACACACAAACCATGCTGGATTTGTTTTCTTGAAGTAATTCCACAGTTTTTAAAGCTCTTTACTTCAACCCCCAAGGGCAAATATTACAGTGAAATCACATCTTATGCTAGATTCTAAAGTCGGAGAAATAGATTAAAATAGCTTAAACAAAGAATACTCATTAAAACTCGCCTAAATTTCCCAGACTCAGTGTGGTATCATTTCTCCACAAGAGCCAGGGCTCCCTCCAGCACTGGGATTGCTTGCAGCCTCTCTGCCTGAGTACTATAGGAAGCTTGCATTTACCATTGTAATAGGCCCGAGAAAGAGGCTCTCAGCCAAGGAGAAGCTCCCCAAGAACCGAGGCCGACGGAGGGAGCTACGGATCCTACCTTCCACCTCCAGCTCATGCTAGCGCAGATGTACATGTATACATTCCTTACACTGTCGTTCTCCCTAGCTTTCTCTTTCCCACCCTTCAACACCAAGTTTATGAGGTTAAATTCCCGTGAAGCTAGTCTGTGAAAAATACAAGGTTAGCAGTGTGACTAAAAGCATAGTATATGGATCACACTGTCTGAGTTTGAATCCTGGCTCTGCAACTTGCTGGCTATATGTCTTCAGGTAAGTTACCTAACCTCTCTGAGCCTCAGTTCCCTCATCTACAAAATGGGCATAAAAGCAGTACTTGCCTCTTAGGGTTGCTCTGAAGATTGAATGAGTTCTTATTTGTAGATCATTTAGAGCATTGTGTGGAATCATTGGAAATACTATTTCAATGTTTATTAAAGTAAAAATAATCCATCATATTTTCCCCACTTTTTAAAATGAAGAAATGTCAGTCCACCTATCCAAGTCACCCATAAACTTTGTTTGGTGCCTAATACTGGGAGTTGCAAACCCCAGTTTTCTGACTCCAAGACTCATATTGCTTCTTTTGCTTCCCCAGAGGATGGAAAAACAGGAAACATGACTTCTGTCCTTTTGTATTGAATCCCTTTGCAGATCAGAATCCCCAGTTCACACCTGTATTAAGTCAAAGACCCTGGACCCAATGGCCATCTTCTTCACCAGTGGGACCACAGGCTTCCCCAAGATGGCAAAGCACAGCCATGGACTTGCTTTGCGATCCTTCTTCCCTTCATGGTAGGAGAGAGGGCACCAGCTTAGAAGCTGGGCCACGGATCTGGGGTGAAGTGTGTATGTATATGTGTATGTGTATGTGCTGGGAAAGGAACTCTTGGTGGAATTGACCCCGTGCTGTTTATGCTTTCTGCTCTCTTTGGTTCAGACCCCTAAGGGTATGAGAAGTATAGGATGACAGAGGCATCTGAATGACAAAGGAGGCTCTTTTGGGTCCTGCCTGAGCACCTTTACAGGAGGAATGGAGGAGATGTGGGTGGAAACAGCAGGCATTCTGCAAACCACACAAATGACAAGCCCCTGTGTCCCTGTCAGTAGTTCCAGGGTTTGGTGGGGAAAGATAAAATGCTCCAGCAATGTGACCTTACGTGACAGGTCCTCTCCTCTCCTTGATTGTGGACAAATCCGGCATAGAGTTTCCCAGTCATGAACTGTTAGGGAAAAATAATACCTGGAACTAAGCCACACCAAGCCACTGCCCTAACCTGGAACAAACATAGAGGCTGAAACTGGATTAACCATTTAATCAATTTTAAACCAAACTCTTCTCCCTTCTCTCCATCCCCCAACTAGTAATATTCAAACCAGACCACGTTCTATATACTTTGTACCTTATTAACCAGACCAGGGGGACAGAGAAGGCTTTTTGTAGATAGTTGGCATCTGTGCTAATGATAACAACTGAGTAGCAAAATCCTGGAGGAATGCGGGTGGAGAGAAGGGAAGGATAGTATAGTAGTCAGAATAGTATCTGAGGCTAACTGTATTTTGGAGTTAGCAGGAAATTACTGCAGCTGAAGACGTCTGATGTCCTCTGGTGCCTGTCAGACACAGGCTGGGTTCTGGCTTTCCTGGGGTCCCTGCTTGAACCATGGACAGCGGGGTCTACAGTCTTTGTCCATCATCTGCCCCAGTTTGACCCCAAGGTCATTGTACAGGTAAGAAGACGAACCTTTCGATATCAACAAACTCCCAGAAAAAACTCATTTCGAGTTTAAAAACTGGATCCAACTGAGAAAATACTTTATTAGCAAAGAAGCCTCTTAGTATAACTCTTAGCATAATATAACCCTGGCTCTGCGTTTCTCAAAGTGTGAAGCACTGAATCAATCATCGTATCAGAATTACATCAAGAGGTAACTTTGAAGAAAACACATATTCCAAACCTTTCCCTAGACCTATGGATCAGACTTTGTGGACCTGGGAACCAGAATATACGTTTTGAGAAATGAAAGCAAACAGAACAAGCTCAGGTCTCCTGGATCCTGGATCCTGGCTCTACCAGGGCCGGGTAGCTGGTGTGTGAATGTTGTATTTGTGTGGCTACTCAATTTAATGACATATTTAGAAACAAAGGCCTTGGAATATGACAGATCTAGTTTCGTATCCCATGATTGACATTTATTAGTGGTTTGCTTCCACTCTGAGCTTCAGTTTCCTTATCTGTAAAATGAGAGTCTTAATGGTTACTATTTCCACAAAATTGTTGGGAATATTAATGAGATGACATAGGAAAGGTGTGTAAAGTGCTTAGCCCTGAGACTAGCCCAGAGAGAACACTCAGTAAGTGGTAGCAGTTGCTGGTATGCATACACCATGATAATAACTGAGGTCACCTGCGTGAACTCCTTCAACGTATTTCTCTTCACTTAAAAATTGTCTTTGTGTCTCCGCTCACTCCCCTGCTTTCTGTCTCAGAGGCAGACCTGCCCCTTCACCTCTCAACGTCCAACTCCCTCCCAACACCTGCTGCCGATCCTGTTCTTTTCCCTGCCCTTGGGTTTGGAGCCCCTCTCTATTAATCTTTAACTCATTAAACCTTTTCTCCTGTATTTGCAATCTGTCATTTTTCATTGACTCTACTCCCTCAGTCCATAAACATATTCAAAGTTCCTCATCCTAAGAACACCTGCCCTTCACCCTGGTACACCTCGGACCAGCCCTGTCTCTCCTCCCTTAAGGTCAGATTGCTCCACAGAACATTCTCCACTTGCTACAGCTACCGCCTGTTCCCCTAGCTCACCCCTGAACACCGTAGTCATCCAAGGCTCTGCCCTCAACTTTCCCTCCCCTCTAAGCAGCTTCCTGTACTTCCATTTCTCCAGCAGGTACGTCCACTCGGGTGGCTCCCAAAACTGTCCAGTCCTCCCTCCAGGCTAGTTTCCGCCTGTTTTTCTGCTGGTTGGTTAAGTTCATCTGCTCATCCCTCCAGCACCTGAAACTGTACCTCCCACTTCTCATTCCCTGCCCCTATGTCAACATCTGCCTCTCTGTCATTATTTTCTGCCTGCATCCTGCCAGTCTCTGAGGCATAGAACTGCACAAACCACAATGAATCCACCTCTCTCCTTCCCCCACCAGGTCTAATTCTTCTTCCCCTACAAGGGGTGTCCCCACAGTCTCAGTGTATTTTAAGCTTGAATTATTTCAAAGAACTGAGTCTACAAATTTACCCCAAACCCTGCATTTGAAAGTTCAGTTGTTTAATTTACTTTACAATTATTACTTTCGTGAATTTTTAAAAATAAACTTTTTAAATTACTTGGTTTCAGTCTCTCCTATTGAAGATGGGAGATAGTGACTAAAATGAAAAATGTTAAATTAAAAATTTACCATTCAAATTCACAAAACAAAACTTCCCCTTCATTCCCTCCCTACCCAGCCCCTCAACTTAGACTTTCTTGTGTTGCTCCAATAGTACCTGACACATGCCATGTACGGAATTCATGCTCAATTTAGGTATACTGAAAGAATTAACAGATGAATAAATGGGCTCTCCTAGACAGGAGGTCAGAATTAAAATGCTAACAACAAATCTATGTTTTAAATTTTAATTGCAAAAATAAAATTTTTTCTCTCCTAACTTTCTAGACTTTATTCAAATACCCTATTACCCAATGCTTTGCTGCGCCCTCTGTATTTCGAATGATTCTGCAGCAGAATTCCGCCAGGTATGGTAGATGTGGTTGCGGTTGGTAACAGGAATCTTCGGGTAGGATTTTAAGTAATCTGATGCACTGTGGTCTGACTGATTTTAGCTATGGTTCTTTGAGGATACTGTGTGTGTGTGTGGTGGGGGGTAAATGTTGGGGGTGATATTTAGCAGCTAATCTAATTGGTTCTTTAAACAGAATTCAGAGAACCAAACGAAACACTGAGTGAGCCTTGCATCATTGTGGGTTTTTACTTTTATAAACATTTTTGTTGTCAAGTAAACATACAGAAAACTATATAATATATACATTTACAGATTAATGAATTGTTGAAAATAAAACAGCTATGTAACTGCTCACCGAAGGCCCAAAAATAGGACATGGCCAGTGTCCCCAGAGACCTCCTCATGCCTCTCCATCTCCACTGAAGGAATCCACTGTCTTGGCTTTTATGGTTCATTTCCTCATTTTCCCTCATAGTTTACACAGGAAATATCCCTAGACAAATTATTCTACTTTACTTGCTTTTGAACTTCATGCAATCATACATTATTCCATAATATCTGGCTTCTTTTTTCAACATTATGTTTCTAAGAAGTGTCCGTGTTGTTAAATAATGCTGGAGTTAATTTTCATTGCTGTATAACATTACATTTTATGAAAGTAGCACATTTTAACTCAGTTCTATTATTGGGCATTTGGGTAGTTTTCAGTTTGGGACTATTGATGATTAATGCTGCATTGAATTTTTGAACATGTCCATAAACACGTAAACACACATTGCTGTAGATCTTCTCTGGGGAAGGAATTGCTAGGTCACACTGACATTGCACCCTACTACCTTATTTTCCAAAGTTTTGAACCAAGGTATGCTCATCCTAACCAAGGTAGCAGGGTAGGAGCATTTCCATTGTTCCACATCTCTGACAATATTTGTTTTTGTCCAAGTTTTAATTTTTGCCAATCTGGTGGGCATGTAGTATCACACTGTAATTTTATTTTTGCATTTCCCCATGTTTGTGGATTAATTTTTAGCTCACCTGAAATCTGCTCTTTGAACCTTATGGTTGTTTATGTATCTTTTAGCGACTCTGAAATTGAAATGGCTACCTCAGAATCAGAGCTAACATGTTTTAGACATAAAAGACTTAAAATACCAAGGAGTTCAATTTATGAAGATAACTGAAATACAGCTTGATTTTATTCATGAACCCTCAATCTGACAGAATTATGTTTCCAACTGTATTTCAAAGCTCATATTACAGCTACTTTTTGCAACGTTCTTGAGATGGTGAACAAACCCCATACAAATTCAACCAGGGCATGAATATTGACTCTATTGGAGACTCTGCCCATTTTGTGTACTTTGGTTAAAGCTCAAGAAGAATGAGGAACATACCCTCAATGAAGCCAGCCCTGCTGTCCATCACTACAGGCTCTGTATATATGAGGAGAGGGTGACAAGGGATTCTGCCACCTCCCTCATCCCTACGAGCTGGCTCAGCTCAGCCCCGTGCAAAGTGGTACTAAGACCCCAATCACTTCTACCCATTTCCTTCAGGGAATCCATCATTATTTTGTGATGGTTTTTGTATTATTTATGGAAATCTTCATGGGGAAAATAGATGAGAGGATTTACATCGCACAACGTACCTAGCAAACTACTGCAAATATTCACAGCAGACTTTTCTGTTCTCTCCCAAATTCCTGCTCTCAGGGCTGTTACCTGTGATCCTTCTTCTCTTTACTTACATGAATCCTGGTCTTCCTTGATGTCCCAAGCAATTCATTTCCAACCCCTAATTTGCGTTCTCCAGCCAGAAACACAAAAGGCCTTCAGTTCACGTAAGCCCACTCTTCCCAGAAGGCGGTACAGTTCTATTACCATCCTAGCATATCCTTGGGGTCTTATCCCTCAGCCCTTATGGTTTATAAAAATATCCCTCTTAGCCACATAGAATGCTTAGAATGTGTTCCAAGCACACTTTTCTCCCTCTTGTTACATCAACATCCATATTCAATCCTGATCTCCCTGATTTAACCCATTAGCCTCACCACCGCCACCACCTACCCCTGCCAGATGAGTTAACAGGTACCAACAGGAAATGACTTCCACTTGGACTTGACCACCAGGAAAATGCCCAGAAGGCAAGTAAGAAAGCGAAGAAGCAGAAGGATGAATGATCCAGATGACAATGCTCTGAGCTCTCCCTGGGCCTGGGGCAGAGCGCCCAAGCCCATTCTGCGGAGGCTCTGTTGACACCTTGCCTTCCCCTCAGTCTCAGGCTCCCCACCCTGGAGCACTGCTGTACCGGTGGGGAGGCCCTGCTGCCCGAGGAGCAAGAACTGTGGAGAAGACAGACAGGCGTTCTGCTCTACCAGGCCTACGGACAGTCAGAAACGGTAGGTGAAGGGTCCCTCTGGGCCAGTCAGGATGTGCTCGTCCACTGAGCCCAGCAGAAGAGCTGAATCCTGCTATGAGTGTGTGCAGAGCACACAGCATTGCTCAAAGCCAGTGGGAGGCTCCAGAGCTCTAGGCTTATTTGTCCCAAATAAATTTGCAGAAAAGACAGTTGCAGCTCATCAACTTGTCAAAAGACCCATGTGCTGAAAGCTATTGGACAAAAACTTACAAAGGGGTCTAAGGGCATGGTGCCACTGTACCTGTGATAATTAGTTATAATTAAGGGAGCCCAGGAGGGGCACTGGCATAGAAGGCACTCTCCAGAGACATGGAAGCCACCACTGCAAGTCCTGTCCACTTCACCGTCCCTTCCTAGGCAGCAACCACAGGAGCAGGCTGGAGCTAGCCCCGGAAGTTCACTAGTTCATTTCTGGGTGTTTATGAGGAGAGCACACAGCTTTGATGGTGAGAAACTAGCAGGAGGAGAGATCTTCTATATACACGCCACACACACACACACACACACACACACACACACACACAC